TCCGCGTGTCAGTGTCGTGCTCTGATAGGTTGTAACACTGGGGGAAACGTTTGAATGATGAGTTTTATTTTATACTCTATTGTTTAATTTATGTTGGGAATACTTATGAAGTGAAGTTATTCCGGTTTTGAGACATTTCCGTTGTGTAGAACATGATATTGTTTTGAATATTTATCTTAATAATTCCTTCAGTAAAGCACGATAACTGTAGATTTGAGGTTTTTATATTTATCTTTAATTGTGACATCCCTGTTTTCCATGTTACTCCGACAGTGTCAGTGATGTTTTGATCATGAAGAAGGATGGGAGTCATTCTTTGATCAAAGATGTGATATACATTCCTGGAATTAAATGAAATATCTTAAGTATTGACCAATTGCTTGAGAGGAATTACACAATTCACATGGAAAACAAGATTTTGTGTGTTTTAGACCAAAATAGAGTTTTAATTCTTAGAGCACCCATGGCTGAAAATTGTAATTTCAAGATAGAGTTGAAAGTGATGGAACATATGTGTCTTGCTATAGTGGAAATTTGTGGTGAGTGGTTGTGGCATTACCATCTTGGACATCTCAATTTTTGATACCTCGATGCGTTACAAAGGAATGGTATGGTGACCGAGCTGCCTAAGATCAATGTTCCATCTGAGATATGTGATGAGTGTGTTCAAGGGAAGCAACAGAAGGATATTTTCAGCAAGGATATAGGTCATATGACTAAACATCACCTTGAGGTGGTGTACTCTGACGTTTGCGGACCAATGCAAGTCTACTTGTATAGTGGGAATAAGTACTTTGTCACATTTATCGATGATTTTAGTAGGAAGTTATGGATTTATCTAATCAAGACGAAAGATGGGGTTTTTAACGTGTTCAAATGTTTTAAATCCATGGCGGAGTGACAAAGTGGCCACAAGTTAAAATTTCTTAAAACCGATGGTGGAGGTGAGTATACCTTGAGTGATTTTGGGAACTATTGTGATGATGAGGGTATAGTGCGTGAGGTTGTGCCACCTTATACGCCTCAACAAAATGACGTTGCCGAGAGAAGAAATTTTTTGATAATGAATATGGTTCGTAGCATGTTGAAGAGTAAAAATTTATTGAAAGAGTTGTGGGGTGAAGTCGTGTCTACAGCCGCCTATTTGTTGAATAGGTGCCTTACAAATAATTTTGATAAAGTAAATCCAGAAGAAGTATGGTCTGGTTTTAAACTAAGCTTGAGTCATTTAAAAAATTTCGGTTCAGTTGCATTTTGACATATTATGGGTCAGCTTCGAAAGAAGTTGGATGATAAAGGGGAGATGATGTTACTTGTTGGTTATCATCCTACTGACGACTACAAGTTGTTTGATGTAAGTAGCAAGAAGATTGTGATAAGTCGAGATGTGGTTGTGGACGAGTTAAGGCTGTTTGACAGCAGAAAAAAGCCAATATCAGTACTGGAAACCGATTTCCTAGATGAGGGTAACCAATTTCCTTTGTGATTTTTGCATCCTGAAGCTACTGTAATTGATTTTTTGGAAAGAGAAACTGGTTCCCCTGTTTCTGGAAACCGATTTCCATAGGACAATGCAGAAATGCAGAAATGCAGAATTCTGCAGGTACAATTCAGCAGCTGGTCGAAGTCGAAAATGGTGAATCCAAAAGACGACCAATAAGGCGCAGAGGTCTACCTCATAGGCTCCGAGAATGTGAAGTATTCCATGATAATGAGATTAACAATGATGGTGATCTTATTCACTTTGTGCTTATGCCGAATTCGAGCCCGTGAGCACGGAGGAAGCATTAAGCGATCCAAAGTGGGTGTGTGCGATGAAAGAAGAGTTGTAATCGATTGAAAAAAATAGTACTTGGGAGCTGGTCGATCTACTCGAACAGAAAAAAGCCAATAGGAGTGAGATGGGTCTATAAAGTGAAGGCAAATTCAAAAGGAGAAATTGTCAAGCATAAGGCTCGACTAGTTGCAAAGTGATTTTTGCAAAGAGAATGTATAGACTATGATGAGGTGTTTGTACCTGTGGCTAGATTAGAAACTATACGCCTGGTTGTTGGTATTGCAAATAGAAATAATTGGTCAATGTATCAAATGGATGTAAAATCTGCATTTTTGAATGGTCCACTTGAGAAGGAAGTCTATGTAGAGCAGCCCCCTGGTTTTGTGGTGACAAATCAAAAGGGAAGAGTCTACAAATTGAAGAAGACACTTTATGGTTTGAAACAAGCTCCTAGAGCTTGGAACAAACGCATCGATGCTTTTCTAGTTGAGGTTGACTTCAAGAAGTGTGTATTCAAACATGATGTTTATGTGAAGACGGATGCAAGCAAAGATGTGATCATACTTTACTTATATATGGACGATTTATTGATCACGGGAAGTAATGAAGTGAATATTTATAGTTCAAGAGTGAGCTTATGGAAGAATTTGAGACGAGTGACCATGGCTTGATGAAGTACTTTCTTGACATAGAGTTTCATAAGTAAAAAATGAGACTGCTTATGCATCAAAGGAAGTATGCACTTGAGATCTTGAAAATATGTGATATGGAGCCTTGCAGTGTTGCCATAACACCGACTGAAGCAAGGTTTCAACTGTCCAAAAGTGATGATGAGCAAGATGTGGATCCAACTAAATATAGGAGGTTGATTGGATCGTTATGTTACTTGTGTAATACGTGGTCAAATTTAGTGTTTAGTGTCGGTATTGCAAGTAGATTCATGGAGAGACCGAAGGTGTCTCACTTGACAGTAGTTAAGAGGATCTTAAGATACATCAAAGGAACTCTTGGTTGTGGAGTTCTCTAAAGGAACTCTTGGTTGTGGAGTTCTCTTTCCCGTAGTTGATACAGGAAGAAAATACGAGTTACTCGGTTATATGGATTCCAACTGGTGCGGAGATAAGGACGATCGAAAGTCTACGACTGGTTATGTCTTTATGTTCGGCGGAGCTCCAATCTCTTGGTGCTCTAAAAAGGAACCTGTGGTGACACTTTTTTCTTGTGAGGCCGAGTATGTCGCTACGTCGATATGTGCATGACAAGCTGTGTGGCTTGTGAATCTGCTAGAAGAGCTGGACAACAAGGTTGAAGAAGCTATCACACTCTTGGTTGACAATGTTTCAGCCATTAATCTTGCAAGGAATTTCATAACACATGGGAGGAGCAAGCATATCGAAATGTGTTTTCATTACTTGAGGAAACTGGTGTGTGTCGGCCACCTGAGGTTAGGATATTGTCGAAGCGAAGAACAAGTTGCAGATTTGTTAACGAAATGTGTGACAAATGATGTGTCCAAGAAGCTTGTGAGGAGTTTGAGAATGAAGAACTAGGAGCATTTGACTTAAGGTGGTGTATTAGATGTTTAAAATAAGTCAAATGCATTATAGAAGCTTTTGGGATCGTTTCGTGTAAAACAGCTTATTTGAAAAGTACTTTTAAAAATATGGAAATTCAAAATTTCGAAGAAGAAACCAGTTTTCCAATTTGAGGAAACCGGTTTCCACCCGTTGTTTCAGATTCTGGGTTTGTTTTTCTATTGAGGAAACCGGTTACCTTGATTCAGGAAATCGATTTCTAGTGCGATAATGTTATGTTTTAAGCTGTTTTTAGGGCAGTTTAGTTCCAATTGTGTTTTAGGTGTATGATATATAAATCCTCTTGTAACGTGTGTTTTAGTTAATACAAAATAGAATATTTTTCTCCTCAATTACTCTCTCTCTCTCTCATAATCTCCAAATTCTCTCAAACTTCATCTTCTCCAATTAATTATTTTTCACCATTAACTCACCAACTTAATTTTGTATATGTTCCAATATAAACTTCTCACAAATTAACGGGGACAGATGAAAGTTTTAAACTTACACTCTACAAAATATAAAATATGTGTTACCTTCCATTCAATTTTTTTTAGCTTTGACATAACCGCTGGCAGAATAGATTTAAATGGAACGACATCCCCTAAAATATACATTAATAAATATACATTAATATGGAAGATTAAGAAATAATGAATTCTAAAAATGTAAAATTGATTTTGAATAATTTTAAAATAATTATTTTATCAAAAGTAAAATTAATTCTATCTTTAAAATTGATTCTCCTTAAAACTAGAATTTATAACTTTTATCTTTAAAATTATTGATTTTTATGTTAAAATAAATTTATTGTTCAACTTACTTTTACATAAATATATTTAAATATAATTATATTATATTTAATTTCGTAAAATTAATTTTATAAAATTCAATTTTAAAAGAATCAATATGTTCACCACCAACAAATTTATTAAAAAATACTATCAACTACCGCATATTTATTTTAAAATATATTTAATTTTTTATGAATTTTTTAACTATACGCTTAAAATTCTTTAACGGAAGGGTAATTTACTTATTTAATTTTCAATCGTCAATTTATTTTTTGTTAGCATGAAGTTATCAACAACAACCACCAAATCCAAATGCATGTTACTTTCAACCGTTAATTAGATTTCAGAAAGACAAAAAAAAAAAGTAACCTCATTGTTAGGTGACTTTCCAATTTAAGTTAACAGTCCCACAAATAAAAATTCCCTCATATAAAAAAAGAAAACCACACCTTCCCACGTTGCTAATAGCAGTCTCAAACCAAACCATGTGCAGAACAAACACCATAAACAAAATTTCACAGAATTAACAAAATTTCACTTCAATAACAAACCATATAAATAAAATAAGAGTAATGAGCAGAATTTTAAATTTATTTTTAATATTAAGCATTTTCCATAAAATAAACTTTTTTTCTCTCTTCCAAATCTGAGCAGGATTCTCCAGCCAGTTATCCTCTATATAATAGTAATAACTCCATCAAATATTATTGATTTAAAATCAAAATTAACTCTACCATTTATCGTAAAATTTCCCTGGAATTAATATTTATATATACTTAATATTTTTTTTATACAAATTACATCATGCGTATAGCGTCCGTGTAAGCATGTATACACTCGATCAAAAACAATCCATCACATAACAGAACAAGCATTGGGATTCTCATCACTGAACATCTGCGGTGGAGGATGATTAGGGTTCATGTAAAACGGAACCTGTGGCGCCTGCATAGGATAGCCACCACCTTGATTCATCATATACCCAGGCTCCACATAACGTTGATCATAATGACCATAACCACCTTGATGAAACTGATCCATACCGTAATTACTATTCTGCCCCACACCTCCATCGTACCAATACATTGGAGATTGCATCGGGTACTGATACTCCATTTTATTAACCTCCACTTTCGCTTGATCTCCACCGTCGATTTTCTTCTCACCGCCACCATCTTTCTTCTCTCCACCACCGTCTTTCTCTTTCTTCTCCTCATCTTTCTTTGCCGGAACCATTTCAACGTTTCTCTTTAGCTTCTCTGTAAGATACTCTACCAACTCCTTCGGTTCCATTGTTCCTTTCACCGTTACCAAATCCTTATCTCCGTCAAGGTTTACCGTTTCTACCCCTGTAAAACAAAAGCATAATCATCATTAGCCACCGAATTAACAAATATTTAATTAAATTAAACTAATAAAATTAATTTAGTATAATATAATAATTAGGTCAACTATCTCACCTTTAAATTTCATAACTATCCTTCTAATTTTAGTAATGCAACCGTCACAGTGTAATTTGATCTTCAAAACCACTGTACTCTGAAATAAATAAATTAATTAACAATTAATACAAAGTCGGTTATGTTAATCATGTAAAATAAATGTGTAAATAAATTATTAAATATTAAATATTAAATAATTAATTAGATACCTGTTTAGGCTTATTTTCTTCTGGTTTTTTCTCTTCTGCTTTCTTCTCTTCGGCTTTCTTCTCTTCAGGCTTTTTCTCGTCAGGTTTCTTCTCCGACGGTTTCTCGGCGGCGGCGTCATTTTTTGGCGGCGCTGAGATGATTTCGACTTTCTTCTTGGTTTTCTCAGCCAGTTTATCTTGTAGTTTAACAGCGTCAAATTTACCGGTAACTGTCACTTTGTTTGAAGACAGATCTGCTTTAACAGTTTCCACACCTGAATATATTCGAAATTCAGATAATTAGCATTCTTAAATTCAAATCTAAAATTTCAAGAATCATATGAATCACTAGAGAGATACGGTATTAGAAATAATAAATTACCAGCAAAATGACGAGCGGATCGTTTAATCTTCTTGATGCATCCTTCACAATGCAAGTCGAATTGGTAAACGACAGGAGGGAGACTGTCGTCTTTCTTAGCTCCTTCATCAACTTTCTTCTCAGTTTCATTCTTTTGCTGTATCATAAATTAAAAGAAAAAGTATAAGAGAGACAAAATAACAACAACAACAAAAAAAAAACAAAAAGTCATTCAAATTCCAGAATCTTGAATATACTATACTCAGGAAAAAGATACATATACATGAAACTAAATAACTAACCTCTTTTTTCATAGTCATTTTTGGTGATAGGATATGATATTAGATTAGATACTAGAATTGTTATAAGATTTAGTAAGAGTGGAGAGAGATGGAAGGGAGAGGAGTATATATAACCAAGGAATTCTAGTGATGAGAAACGGTGGGTGGGCTATTGGATTGGTTGAGTCAGAGTCATACATGGGTGGCTTTGGCTTTGTCGCATGTGTTATGTATGTATGTTATGTATGCACATATATGTACAAATGAATGGCATGAATGGAAGGTGCTTGAGTTGAGAGAGAGAGAATGAGATATTATAAAAAAAGTACATGATCTTTTTATTTATTATTTATATGTAAATGAGATTTTCAAAATAATATATGGAGGATAGAATGAGATATAAAGTAGATGATGTAATAAAAAATTAATTAAATTTATAAAGAAATTTTAATGTGAAAATTTGTCTTATACACTTTGAGGGAAAAAAAGTTCTGAAAAAGAATATGTATTCTGGTTTTGAGTGTTGCGGCAGTAAGCAGGAATTACTATTGTTATTGGCAAAAAAAAAGATGTCATTGTGACTTTTGACTCATCACCTAATTTTGACTGGACTACCACTTAGGGAGAAATTTTTAATGGACTATCTTTTGGATTTCATTCTAACTAAGTTTATTTTCAACAAATGTTACTATGATGTTTTAATAGTTAAGTTGTACTTCAAAAAAACAGCTTAGTTTTAAATTTTATCAACAAAAATAGAAACAAAAAGAAAAGAAAAATTATAAATTCGAATAAAATTCTTTTGAATACTCTAAACTAAATAATAAATTTTTTTCATTTGATTAATTTCTTAAAATATTTAATGTTTTTTAAAATTGTCTACTGCATTTAATGTATCTACTATGGTATGTAAAGTCTGTCCATAATCACAATTTATTTTTGGATTGAGAAAAATATAATTTAGAGCATATATTTGAAAATATGAATGGACATGACATAATCAACATGGTAGATTTGTTTGTCAAATAAATATTTAGATAAATTTTTTTAAAAGATTAGATTATTATTTTGAAATCAAATCAAATCTTTTTAATAGATATACTTTTCAAAAACTATTTATCTATTTTAATTTAGAAATTAAAATTGATTATAGAAATTAAATTTAGACATGTAATTGGTTTCATCTATCAATCAACTTACTCCTTGAGTTTTTTAAAATCACTAAATTGTGCATCAATTTTCTTGATATCCTACAAATAGTTCATAAATCATATACATTGATGAAAAATAATGAGATGTTTCTAGTTGTCCCTTGCATGTATATAAGGTGTGAAAGAGAGAACAATATAATAAATGAAGAGTTTATATTGTGTGAGTTGGGGTTTCTTCGGCAAGACTTTTCTCTACTGATTTTGTTTGGCTTCAACAACATTGTTCTTCAATGAGATGGTTTAAACTCTGAATCTTTGGAACAGGGACCAATTCGGTGGGGTCATAGCTGTTTGAAGTTGTGCCTAACAATTTCTCTAAGATTCATGAGTCTCTCAACTCTAGGGTTTGTCTCTACAAATTATGTCAATCACGAGGAAGAAGATGACCCGAAGTTATAGAGCACAAGAAGGTCAAAGATAAAGAGACAGTGAGTTTTTCCATTCCTTAAATTTTTGGTAGGATTGAATTTCTCGCAGCAAGATCAAGAAATGCTCAACTCGCGAGCGAACTTCCCTTCTTACCAAAACATGGTTACTGGAGAACGAATGGAGGAGTGTGAAACCAAGAACAAACAAGAACGACTTGAAGGAAATTTTTGGGAACCTAGAAAACTTGAGGAAGGCCTCAGAATCAAATAACAGAAATACGACGACTATGAATGCCCTAAAATCATCTTATCGACGAAGGAAGAACATTGAATCTCGCTGCCTTGGAAGAAAGGAGTAATTGTTAAGATGCTGGGGAGATGTATAAATTTCAAGGTGCTAGAGAACACGCTACAACAAATGTGGGCGCGAAGAGGCATAATCAACATAGTAGATCTTCGACGGAAATTCTATCATGTTACTTTCACAAGCGAAGAAGATCAAGAATTCGAACTTATGGAGGGACCTTGGATGATCTATGATCACTATCTAACGGGTCGAGCATGGAGCGCGAATTTTTGCCCACTTGAAGATGCCATTGAAGAACTTGTTGTATGGGTAAGAATTTTTTGTATGCTATAGAGTATTACGATAACATAGTTCTCTCATACATTGGTGATCGTATTGGGAAGACGGTAAAAGTCAATAAGAACTCCCTTACAAGGGAAAGAGGGAAATATGTGAGATTGTGTATCCAGGTGAATCTAACGAAACCACTACATGCAATGTTTTTGATTAAAGGCCGACACTATAAAGTTAAGTACGAAGGATTTCACCTCTTATGCCTATTTTGTGGAAGATTTGATCACTCTACTGGTGGATGCATTGAAAAGAAGGATGCAATGGTTGAAGTTAGCGGTAATAGGGGCAAAGAAGAGAAGACTTAGGGAGACAATACATGGGAAGTTAAGGAGGAGGTCATAGGACTTTGGAAGGTAGTTCAGAAAACCAGAAGAGTTCATAAGCAAAACATGAGCTCGAGAAAGAGTTGAAAGAGAAAATCGCAGCATATAAGACTATAACGGCAAATGGAGAAACCAGTAGAATGGGATCTAGATTCCTTGCCCTCAGTGGAAACATTAATAAAGCTATGTAGGAATAAGAGCCAGAAGAGCAACTAAAAATTCAACTAGAGGTATCCACAAGAGAGGAAGAAGTACAAAAAGATGAAGAGAGTAAACAAACAAGTCAAAAACAAGGAGCAACAATCAATGTCATGCAAAAAGTGAAAAGTGCATAAAAGAAAGACAAAAAACTTACTGCAGTGGTGTCACAATATATTCAACAAGTCAATATTAAGGGAGTGTTGTACTCCAAAATTTTCCCTCTCATTTCCCAAAACATTTCTCAAGATCATTGGAATGATAAATGAAATTTGGCCAATTGATGAAAAAGTCAACTGTACACTGAAAAGTCAAACTTTGACTTTTTGATCAAGTTTGAGTTTCAAAGATCACACTTCATTAAGACATTCAAAAATATAAAACTTGATCATTAAGAAATCAAGAAAGTCAAAAGGTCTTTGGAAAAAGTCAACATTTTCTATACTTAGAAATTTTTTCTGTTTTAAACATGATAATTTCATAATTTCATGACATTTTTTCACCAAGATGTAAGATGATTCAAAGAAAACCTTCAACATGAAAGTTGTAGATCTTGATGAATTCTACAACTTTGTATTAGAGGGTTGAGGTCCAAAAAATGCTTAGATTTGAAGATATGAGCCCATGAAGTCATGACATTTTTGTATAAACACTTAGGGAAATTTTCAACAGATTTTGGTCAGGTTTTATCTCAACTTCTTGGCCATTTTTCATCAAGTTCCAATTTGATTTATCCAAAATGGTCAAAATTGAAACATGTAGGCAATGTTTCAAGCTTTCCAAAATATCCAAGAGCATGAGTTTATCATACTTGTGCTAGGAAATTCAAGGGCTTGAAGTTGGACATCATTTCTTGAATTGCAAGTCATTTTGTTGAAGAACATACAACAAAGTCCTTAGGCCGTGCTGCATAATCTTACTTTGCAGGACTATTGACTTGCAAATCTATCCATAATCAGATATTTACACAATTGATTGAACCATTATCCAAGTGATTCAAGCATTATCCATTGCATCATTCTATTTATGGCACAAAGGCACCATTGCCATTCACATAAAGCAAGCTTTATGCAATTGCCAACTCCTTGAGCCTCTCAATTGTTTTCTCTGCACATACACAATGTCAAATCAAGAAGAAACATGCCTAAAAGCCTCTAGCAACTTCAGACCATGCTTGTACCATGCATTGGGACATCAAATTTCACATAACTTGGTTGTTTCATCTCAACCAAACCAGAATTTTGACAGCTTGTAAAACAAACTCTCTCATCCTCTCAAACCTCCTCTATAAATAGATAGGCCATTTGCAAGCTAAGAAGAAGTTTTTTTTTGTTGTGTAGACAAGCCCTCAAAATATCATACTCTCAAAAAGCCATAGCTACCCACAAAACCTCCACTCTTGAGCTTTGAAGTCCAAATCTTTGAACCTCTCACACCTTGCAAGTTCTGTCCAAATAAACCATCCACATACTTCATATACCTCATATAGAAATTGTTCAAATACAAGAACAACTTCTGTTACATCATCAACACCATTTACCAAAAAACAGCAACTTGCAACTTGGTTTCTCCAACTCTAAGTCAAAACACAAATTTCAGTTTCAAGGTAAGTTTTCTTGACTTTGAACTCTTCATATAAAGCATCATTAATGGTTCATTTGTGAAGATAAAATGTAGATACCATTGCCTTTAAGCTAACCATATACTTGCTTTTCATTTTCATTAGCCATGTGTTGAGAATTGACTTTTACATGTAGCAGAACAATGATAGAAGTAAAAAAGTAGTAGTATGAGTCGATATGAAACACTATGAGTTGACACATGCTATGTACAAAACAGGTTATGAGTCGATACAAAATGCGCATGTGTCGATACGAAACGGAAATGAGTCGATACAAACCCTTATGTGTCGACTCATACTGAGCTGTTTTTTTACTTCCAAGAGCAAGAAATTGACATGTGTCGATGCAAAGCTAATATGTGTCGATGCAAAACAGAAAAATGAGTCAATACAGGCCATTATGTATCAATACATGCTGAGTTTGGTTTTTGATTTTCTAAAATATTTTATTTATCATTTATAACTTTAATATATTCCTATTGTTATTTCTTTCTAAACCAAAAGCTAAATAAAAAAAACATTTTTTTTATTAAAATCAATTTCTTTTCTTAAAATTAATTTAATATTTAGACTTAAGTTTATCTTTTATTTAAAGTTAATTTAGAACTTAGGGCTTTTAATTAATTAATTTTTTATATATACTAATTTAATTTAATTAAAACCTTTTCGCAAAAATCC